TCAGCATTACTAATAGGTCTAAACTAGCATTCATAAATATGTTTTACCATAACATGACTATTCTGCAGTGCACTATTTATGATTTTTGTTACTTTAATTTTGAAGCGTTTGTTATGATAGCACGCAAATCTGTCCTTATATTCTCTATTTTCCTGCGAGACTTTTTGGGGATTCAAAGTCCTGAGGTAGTCTAACTAGGGAGACTCAAAACTTGCCACTGCTATTGAGGTCCATCAAAATTTAGAGGCAAAGGCACCAGGCCATAGTCCTATGATTCACATTTTAGTGAATGAAATGTTTAATAATTTTTTTATTTCATGTATAACTTTTTACAGATGGAGAATATAAGAATCAGTTTAGGCTTACAACAATTACAACTGAAGACTGACATATCAGAAAATAAGTGTTATTAATTTCCATATCATTTCTAGCCAAAGACACAGGAAGTCACTGGAGAATGGGTTGAAGAGCAGTACACGGCTCTGGAGCCACAGATTGCGTAACCCTGCCCTGACCCTTGCTGATGTGGTAAAACTTGTACTCTTGGCCAGTCATCATTGTGATGAATAATAAAATAAACTCAATGAGCCACAGTTGATCTTATTTGAATGTATGTTTAATACAATACAAATCTGACATCAGAGGAGGTCATGGTCGAACATGTATGCATGGACACAGCAGTACCAAAAACCTAAAGTAACAGAGCAATGATTCAGCTTTGTATAGTGTATTTCACACGTCTCACAGATGTGTCTAACATTGGAGTCTAAACATCTACAAGGTCTTCGTCTTGTAGTATCGTAACCTTCGGACACTCCTGCATGCAGACAGAGAGGTTATCTGAGGCTGAGAGTTCCTAAACCATGACTCTGGATGAATCACACATTTGTACAATTACTATTATTATACATGATGGCTTTCAAATACATTTATATTAAATCAGTTTTTCCATGACACTTACATTAGCCTAACCTTATTCCAAGTCTTCAACCCAAAATTGTAATGATCTACATTATAGGGACTTGTTTGTCCCCAGAAGGCAGGTGAGTCCCCACAATGTACAAACAGATGCCCCCACCATGTCAGTATGGCATGTCCACATTTACTTTCATTTTACACTCGCTGCCCTCTTAACATTCAATGATCCACAGAGCAGGATGGACTGAATTTCCCCACATTAAGCACAACAGCTCTGTTGTGTTGCACTTTGGCTCACACAGTACAGACCCAAAATACCCACAGTGTTATCAGCCTCTCACACGTGTGTCTATACAAATCTATTCAAAACTTGGCAGCATTAATTGCTCAGCTGTATCACATGTAGCTAACACTGTAGTTTCACTGACCACCTGTATTATTTATTTATTTATTTTAATATTTAGTTAATATCTAACTAGTGAGTGACTAATTGAAGAAAAAAAAGGTCTTGTTAAAGGAAGACGCTGCAGCGCCTGCAGGGGTGTATGGCAGAATAGATCAGAGGGAGCACAGATAACAATGGAGATGGAGTAATAAATAAATCTCCCCTTTGAGAAGTAGCCGGAGGACTGACAGCAGCAGATTAGAGCCTGTGCCTTTTAAACAAATTGGGTGCTCAAAGAGGCATATTGGCTGTGTGCTGGAGCATGTTTTATGGTGCAGCTCTGTAACCACTGAGACACACAAGTCTGTGTCAGTTCAAACATGCTCACCATGCAAATTCTCTCTCTTTTTTTTTTTTGCAATTACCCTTTTTAAGTAATTGACCTATCAACTGCTGCCTCACCCTGTACTGCAAAAGCTGGATACAGTGTTGAGAGCCAAGGTTAACAGTATATTAACGGAATGAGATCTATTGAGTTTCCGTAATCTGAAAATGTGTTTCTTATTAATCTTGAAATAAAACCAGATGACACAACAGCTAAAAATAAATCTAAAAAAACCTCTCAGAAAATATATATAATTGTTTATTTGCAACTTTTAAATGAAAAAAATTTCCAAGGTAGGCCACAACAGGGGATTTGCTTTTGGTCATCTGCTCCAGCCACCTTACTGCAAGTGTTTACATTACATAGCCTACACTGCTACAAGTAGCTACATGCTAATGGCTGGGAAAGATGTTATCTTGGTTGCCGATGTTGTTCATTTCTTCATTTCTTCATTCACTGGCTACAAGTACACCGCTACATATGGCTACATGCTAATGTCAGAGAAACATCAAATCTTGGCTGCTTAAATCACTGAACTCAACAGGCCTATACTTGGGACAGGCTTTTAATTTCTTTCACACAAAACTGTTGCTCAGCAAAGATGGGACATACAACCAAATTGTTTATACCAGTAAACCAGTATGAATATTATTTGTATCAAAATAGGCTTCATTACCATCATATGATCATTATCAATTATCAAATCATTCATTTGATCTAGCTCTGAGAGACAGGACATCAGAAAGAGACAATCATTTTACAGCACCTGAGGGTTATGGCACCCGGCACACTGACACAACACCACTTTATTCTGTTAAGACAAAACTCATTTGGATTCAATTTTATGAAGAACACTTTTGATTCTTTTAATCTGAGGACCCTTACGGACTGAAGGAATATAAATGACTTACCGGTTAATCAAGGAATGGACACATATTCTGATTTTATGACAGCTTTAGAGATAGGGAATCACCTCTTTTTTTGGCTCTCTTGTTTGCCATGCCAGTAAATCTGAATGAATTACAGTCTTTGTCACATGATGGAGGCAGATGAGACAACGCTGCTTGTCCCTGTGAATGGAACATTTTACATTTAAAAAAACACCCAGATGGAGCTTTTGATGGGAGCACCGTTCTCTGCAGTTTCTGTGGTAAGGATTTTTCATACCATCAGGGTACTGCAAGCCTGAAATATCCCCTCAACGAAAAGCATTTAGCAGCGAACCTGAAGGTCTTAGCTAGCACAGGCTCTGATGCTAACACTAGCAGCCACACTCTACCAGGCGTTCAGACGCAAACCTAAAGGGGGATTTATACTCGTGAGGCGGACCTTACGTCGTAGCCTACACACGTCACTTACACCTTTGTGAGCATTTATACTTGTGAGGTGGTGTGTCTGTGTCACTCTGCAGTTACACCTCCAAAACACTAGTCAGCGGCGGGGTTTCTGTGAAATACTGTCAAGTTGAGTTGATTCAAAACACACATTAAACATGGCTTAATAGAGACAATTTCGAACACAAGTACACAAATCAGCTTCACTATAACTCGCAGCATTCACAGACAAAGCACCTGTCTTACTGGACACATTTTCACCACAAATATAACATGCTAATGTTTTTAGCACAAGTCAGTGGCATTTTACATTGTATTGATTAGCCTAGTGAGGAGCGGAGATTTCCTCTGCTCATACGAAGCCAGGACATATCCGTAAGTATAAATCCCTGAAGTATAAATTACACACAAGACTTAAAATGCTATTTTTGTGGAGGCTTTATTGTCTTCACAATTTATTGTTTCTTATCTGTGAAATAAAAGGAAATAAAAGCTTTGTTTCCACTGAGTGAAATAGTTTCAGCTTACAAAAAAAGACAGGAGGTCTGCGTCACCAGGACGTGTAGTTACATTTCTGGGGAGGTGCACGACAGGCTACGGCATATGGTACAGCGTAAGCTCTATGTCGACACAGAGTCTACATCGTAGGTACGCCGTCGATTCGACAAAGAAGTATAAATCCTGCATAAGTCTACCTGTGACCAACTAACTGTCTTACAAAATGGACTGCAGACCAGTTTGGGTGATAGAGAACAGGGAGACAATTGTGTCCAGCAGCTCAACTACGACACATCTGCCAAAATTCATTTGAACTGAAATTTATGAAATACTTTCACAGCAAAAATTGATTTATGTGATTAATTTAGATTAATTAATCACAGAGCATGTAATTAAGTACAGTTTAAATGTGATGTAACACTGGGCAAGTAAAAAGGACTGAGCGTTTAACTGGGACCAGGCTTTTAATTTACTGTAGTTGGGTTTGTTGTAAATGGGGAAACATTCAAAACACCGGTTTGGTCCTTTGTGTTGCTTCATCATTGAAGCTGACTCTTGACCTTGAGATGTGTGACAAAATAATTTCATCTCAAGGGTCATTCACCTGCACTCTGTTGATGAAGACTGTGACATGCAGTTGAAAGCTCTTAAAGAGTCAGTAAGCCAAGAGCCAGGATACACACCATAGCCTTTAAACTGAAATTCATTAAAGATCTTTGCTCAGACTTCAAGTTGTGGACTAAAAATAGAGGGTAAACTGCACCAAAAAATGACTCCTCCAGGTCATAGAGCAAGTTTTAGTGTTTTATGTAACCACCTCAAATTCTTGCCTTGCCATATGCTGAATAAAAATGATAATCAGATTCATTTAGCAGCCTGTTACATTGCTGATTTCAATGAAAGTGTGTATTTCTCTCTGTCATCCTCCATGTTTTTCTCTTGCACCCTTAATACTTGCTACTGTAGGCTTCAGAGGAAAGTCAACTTATGCGGCATCTTGTTGAAACGTCCCTGTCCAAGGTCCTGAAATCTGCTTTCCCAAGCATGCGTCATGTGACTTCACCCAGCACTGCCTAGCTCAGCACCAAGCCTACTGGTTTCTGGAGATTTCATGTGAGAAAAGGACGAACCCCGAACCCCTTTTCCTCTCATCTTGCGTTGTTTAGACTCTTTCTTTTTCCTCGCCCTCCCCCACCTCTCCGTCTTTTTTTTCCTGTATCGGATAATGTGGACCTTCAAAGCGCACGGAGTATGACAAAAGATTTTAGGATGCTGGACTTGTGCTGCTCATTTTGTTCCTCTCTTTTTACTTAAATGCCAACACGGTGAATGCGTCGGACAGAGTGGACCAGCCTGCTGCCAGTTGTCCGCATTCAGAAAGTCAGCATCTTGTCTTTCTTGATTTTATTTTCCTCTGGAGCGACTTCAGAAGGATGTAACGACCGATCCACCTTTGCGCAGCCGAAGTCTCCTCATCAAAATGCAGAAGGGAATACGACTTAATGATGGTCATGTCACCTACCTGGGGCTTTTGGCGAAAAAGGATGGTACGAGGCGAGGGTGCTTGAGCAAAAAGAGCTCAGACAACACGAAATGGCACACAAAGTGGTTTGCTTTGTTACAAAATGTGCTCTTTTATTTTGAGAACGAGTCCAGCTCTCGACCCTCGGGATTATACCTGTTGGAGGGATGCATATGCGACAGGGCGCCTTCACCCAAACCTTCACAGTCAGCCAAGGAGTGTTTGGAAAAGCAGGTATGGAGAGCGTGCGTGCGCGCATACACACACACACACACGCACAGGTTCTCACTGCTTTATTGTTTTTTTTTTCAGGCTTCATGTTAAAATATGAACAAGGTGCAACACTGAGTGTAAAATTTGCTCCTGCGCCTCAAACGCCTTTGAACTATTTCAGTCTGGCACAAAGCGCTTTTCTCCTCTTATGCGTATATTCTCCTTATATCCAATCGCATGATGACCTCAAATACAGCGCAGCAGAATAGCACGAGGTTCCAGATTGCTGTATTGCACGTTATGTAATCCATGCATGGCATTAATGATGAGGTAACAATATTAACACCTAATGATATTACAGCAGCCCTGGCACTGGGCTATGCAGTGTTTTTGCTTTAGGTTGCAGCAAAGCCGAGCTCCATCCTGTGTTATTGTTGTTATTATTGATATTACTGGGGCAGTTTTTAGTGGTGCATGTGATGCAAATGGATTCTGTCCCTATCAGGGTGATGCATCCTGGTCGGCCACATATTTTGCTTTTGACTTTCAGTCATCATCTTTTTGACGTTTTAGGGCGGAGAGTGATATACCTAATGCTCCTTCCAATAAAACATGCAAAAAAAAAGTTGTTGCCTCATGGTTTCCATCTTGTGGTGGAGTCGTGAAATTACAGCTGAAGCTGAAACAGCAGGGTGCCAGTGATCAGTCAGCTCTGATCTAGATGACCTGAATGAAATGGCTCAGTCTAATAATTGGAGTTTTGATTTGCATTATAGATTGTAATTGTTTTATCACCTCTTATTAGTGGTATCTTTAATTGATATCTCACATTGTTTTAAAGCGTACATGTAACAGGGTGCATTTAAACATATCTGCAAATTAAGGAGCAGCTCAGTTTAAAGATCTCCTGTGGCTGCTTCTTAACTAAACATGAAAGCGAGGAGCAGAAAGGTTAACAGGTCCGCTAACATTGTTATTGTGAATAAACAGTGGAGGAACATAATGCCTCAGTGCCACTGGCTCTGCTCTCCTCTCCTCTCCTCTCTCCAGGCTCTGTGCCTGACTCTGTAGGTAGAGCTGCAATCCAAAGTGAGTCCAGGCTCTTCCTGTGAACAGCTGCCTTTGTGCTGACGAAGCAGAATGCAACACACAGGCTAATGTTGTGCTCCCTCGCTTGCTTTAAAAACCCTCCCCCCTGAAAGAATTTGGATTATTTTTTATTTCTGTCAGCAGTGTTGTTTCCTCTGCATTTAGCTGTTTAAAATTTGAACACGCTGAGGAAAAAAAAGGCTGATCCATGGATGGAGCTGAATTCACGATGAACTTGAGAGAAGATGCTTTTGTTCTGCGAATCCTGCGTGCAGAGAGTAAAAGCTCCAAGAGGTGCACAAATAATGAATGACTAATGTGACTGATATGACAGGCTGCTCGAGAGTTACCTCTCATTGTAAACAAACAAACAAACAAACAAACAAACAAACATCCTTAACAGGGACAAATAAGAGCAAGACAACATTGCCTCTATCTCCTCTCCCCACCTGGATTTGTGGGTTTTGTGGTTTTACCAATCCACCATAATCCCCACATTATATTTATCCTCAAATGCAGTTAGTGTGAAAATGATAATGCGTTTGAGCCCAAGGTTTCTATGGCAACCCTTATTTGCATCCTAAAGAATGATGCAGTTGGAAGAGGCGGGGTAACGGCGAGGAGAGAAGTAGTGTGTCGCATCTTCTCCTATTAAGGCGAGCGCTATCTGGGCTAAATTTGTTCCTTGCAGTACCTTGGAGGGGTCAGTGTCCATTTATAGAAAACACAGCTCGCTCACACTGGGAAACAGCAGCACTTCAACCAATAACACAAGACGCTACAGGAGCAGGAGATGGTTGATTTTGTGTAAGTCAAAAGGTCTGACTAATGTGTACCAGTGAAGAAGGCTAAAGATTCTCATTAAAATGAAAGCAGATGCAACTAAGTGATTACCAACACTTAGTCCTCCAGGGAATATACTACTGTATAGATCTCATTATATGATTCAGAGAGTCCTTCTACAGTATTGATGCAATAAAACTGTGCTCTTTATCTGTCTGGAACAATTATACAAGACCAAGGGCATAGGTTTCATTTCAATATTGGGGGGTGGACATATGTAAAATTGGGAGTTTTGGGGTCCTCTGCTAGAAAATGTGGGCATAAACACTACATTGTCTGCATTACTGTGAATTTTATGCACTAATATATGTTGTAAATATCTTTAAATTTGCCAAAATAAAAGTCTGTTGTTATTTTCATGTTTTTATTGGGGGAGAAATAAGCAAATGTTTTAATATTGAGGGGAAAAAAATCCACAGCACAGCAAGAATGACAAGAAGTGAGTGTTGCCCCCATGATACAAGATCATAAATTCATGAGCAAATAATACACATGTATCCATATGATACGTTTTATAAATGTCGTATCAGTCTCATATATCTTCGTTAAGATCAGTAATGATTTTTAAAAGGTGCATGACTCAGCCTTAAACACAAAGCAGGAAGCAGACAGTGTGCTTAACACTGCTTCACACCAGACACTCACCGCACTCTCAGAGAGATCATGAGGGAAAACTACAACAACATGCATGCCTCTCTGCCAGAAATAGATTTTCTTTGACGGTAGGATGAATACCTAATGAATGTGAAGATGGAAGAGCAGTCAGCCATGAATAATGATCAGCTGCAGGTTGATAGGTGCCTGTTGAACATCTGCAGGCCAAAGATTAGAGTCTGGTCTCCCTCAACACGGCTGGAACAGTCCACAGGAAAGATGACATTTCACTTATGGGAGTTGTGATATGGTTTCATCGTGGATAACTGCTTCTTAAAGTTGAAATAAGCAATATGTAGTCTCATCAAAAAGGCTTTCATAAACCTTATATAAACCCAAGAGGGCAAATATTTTACGTTTTGATATGAGATAATTATTATCAGTGTTTCAGATATTTTTTAGCAACTATTTAGACACTTTACTGCAGGGTAAAACACATCGCAAATATTAAACTTTACTATATTTGATGTAAAGGCAATGTTTGCTCTATTTATCCAAATAGTTAAATGATTGTGTCATTTAACCAGACGGATTCAAATTTTGTTTAAGTAATAGTACTAAAAGCAAAATGTTATTTAGCAGAGGTGGACTGGAGTCACATCACTTGGACTCAAGTCAGACTTGAGTCACAAATTTAATGACTTCAGACTCAACTTGACAAAATAAAAACAGACTTGCAACTTGGACTTATACGCCAGTGACTCCTGACTTCACTTGGACATGAGCCTTTTGACATGACTTGATACCTTCCCCCAAGCTCAAAGATGAAGAAGTATGTTATTTAGAAAGTGTGCCATGAATTAATTCCTAAATCAACTACCATTAACGTTATTCATTCCCAGCAAGTCGACATTTAATTCCCCAGATCCACTTTGTTTGAACCAATCTGACGACATCCAATCAAGTTGCAGGAGAGAACCATAAAGAACTGATGTTACATGACTTAGCACCAGTTCAAAAAAATTGTGACATTTTTCTTTTTATTTTAAGACATAAAAATCATGCAACAACACACAATATCACTTGAAAGGGATAATAGTCTCAGAGTAAATGTCCTACAAATTTGGGAAGAAAATGATACAAAATGAATTAAATACAACAAGACAAGATGGAGACATAAAATCCAAGTTATTGTGGTGCTGATTAATAATGCTATATGCTATGAAAGCACAGTCATCACTAGTTTTTATGAGTAATATCAGTGGCACTTGTTTTAACAAAAAAATACAAATTTTAAAGAGCAAAGAAATTATAATAAATTCAACATATTATTTATCTGTCATCAAGTTTCAGTTTAGTACTCTGCACTTGCCTGGCTTGACTTTGGACTTAAATGGGACCTGAGTGCAAAGACTTGAGACTTACTTGGGACTTGCAAAACAATGACTTGGTCCCACCTCTGTTATTTAGTATCACAAACAAAAGTACTCATTATGCAGAATGGCTCCTTACCAATGAGGAAATCCTAACTAAATACGTTGTACAATTTGGAAACCCAAAATTTGTCCCTATCAGTGCCCCATGTGTAATCCATGAAGTCATAGGAAATGACTTAATTAATGACATGATAATAATAATAATAATAATAATAATAATAGTAAAAATAATAATGAATAATTTTCAGTTGAGCTTCTGTTGCTAGGAAACAGGTATCGCTCAGTTATGTAATTGGCCGTGGCTCCAGCCTCCATGTCTTATGGCGTTTCCTCCTGGGAACCAGAGACATCCCAGGAACCGAGCTGGGGGAGGCTTCCCTCAGTGTGCTCCATCAATTGCACTGGTGGGCGAGGAAGATGTGGCTTCCCCGGGCCCTGTGTGGTTTTAAATCACCCGCTTGATGTCTGCGGCAACGAGGCAGTGGAACAAACACAAAGACAAAAGCAGTGGCAAAGCTTCAGTTAAGCCACTATATAATAGATTTATCTAGGAGGTATGCAATAATGAATGTTCCTCTCTGTGTAGAACATATAACATGTCAGGTTAATGATAGTCCTGTTGTTTCTAACAACAACTCCTCACCCTTCTTTCCCCCCCTTCCTCGTTTGTTTCAGTACTATTTCACTGTCAGCTTCACCCATGAAAACCAAAAGGCGCTCGAGTTACGCACAGAAGATGTAAAGGACTGCGATGAATGGGTGGCTGCAATATCACACGCCAGGTAAAGGCACACATCAGTGAAATGTGCAGACACGGCAATTAGAAGTTGAATTAGTCAGTGGAGGGTAAGTAATCTTTGACTGCTCAGTCTGTAGGGGATGTTGCCATGGTTTCATAAGTGGGGTTAAAATATGAGGAATGACAGAAAATGCTTTGTTCACAAGAAAAACCTGATTGCTTTGATGAGAGATGAAACTACATACACTGATGTGAATTCATTACTCAGGCTACAAAATTATGCGTGTGTGTGTGTGTGTGTGTGTGTGTGTGCGTGCGTGCGTGCATGTGTGTGCGTTTGCATGTGTTACAGTTACAGAAACTTGGCCAACGAGCATGAGACTCTCATGCAGAAGTATCTTCATCTGCTTCAGATTGTGGAGACGGAGAAAACAGTTGCTAAGCAACTTCGACAACAGATAGAAGATGGGGAAATAGAGATTGAGAGGCTTAAGTCAGAGGTAATATTCACTGCGATGCCTTTACGCTGAGGAGTAGGGATGTAAACAAATGCAAATACATTATTGGGATATCAACAGATAATGTGATCTGAACACGAACAGCATCCGAATTTTGCAGGAATATTGGATCCCCCTGTTCCTCGCCGATTGACACAATTTGCCACACACTTCACACCTCTTCTTCTCAGACTGCTACCTCAGTTAGATCTAAACACACGTCTTTACAGCGGGGCCAGAATCTCTGAAGTTCATTTAGAATAAATGTTCAAAATAGAATAATGGCGCTCCTTAAAGAAATTAAGATCTTATATCATTATCATCTTTTTTTTCCTTATCAAAGTAACCCAAGTGATTATTGTCTCTGCAATATGAACAGGAATTGCTAGTACACAAATCCGCACAACTGTCCTGATGAAGATTTGTGAGAATCTAAACAGATAAATACACAGATTGCTGAGATTCATCCTCAGTAACTTTCCACCAGTCCTCACCAAATTTGTTACGCAGTTTTTTTTAACCTCATGATGAGATATTGAAGCCTGACACCTTAAGGAACTTGAGCTGAAGTTAGGAACCATCTCATACTATTGGGCAAAAAAAAGGTCAAGATTCAAGACTCAAGATTCAAGAGGCTTCATTGTCAATTCTTCGGTTATGTAACAGACATACAGAGAAGCATTATGGTCCACTGCAACTCTGACTTGTATTTTCCCGTTGTTAATACTTCCTGTTCTATCTCCATGAGGCGTATTCATTACCCAGCTTTTATTCAGACACAATTGGAGAAAATCCTAAATCGTCAAAATCCGGCACTTGGGCAGTGACTTGCAGCATCAGACACTGAAGAAAAATGCTGTCCTTTAACTTCGGCATGATATGCTGGAAGTCGCTGTTATGGTCAGTATAGTCATGGGAAGCAAGGCAGGACAAGAACAAAAGATGGCGAATGTCTGAGTAAGGTGGGCAGGAAGGGTGGTGGATGGGTCCAACAAACACCAGTTTTCACCCGTGAGAGCGAATCCGCATCTCCCAACTTTCAAACACTGACATTCACGCGGGAGAGCGGTGTTTGCATCCTGCAAGATTATAAAGCCAGACCCTGTTCTTTTATTCCTGAACCTAGCCATGTGCGTTAGTTGTTGGAGTGAAAAAAACAAACATCAATTTGCGTTGTTGTACTGACGTAGTCCATTTATTTTGAAAGACGACAATGCATGTAACAGACAGAACTTGTCCCAGAACCTCAACAACCAACACATCCAGGGTACCTTTCATGTTGCATCTGGACGTGGAAGGTCCATGACCAAACATCGATATGTGACGAGGTTGGAGTGAGAATGTGTTGCAGGCTTTTATTTCATGGCTGAGGTAGCTTTGAGAGGGTGGAAGAAGACAGTAGTCAAAAACTCACAGCCACACTCATTCTGGAATTTCCACAGTGCGTGTTGTTTATTAATAACATACACATTAACCTCACCCATAGCCCTGGTTGTATGGCTATTACCTTATCATTCATGAACTAAATAGATGCCACATGTAACCCATTATCACACTTGAGCTGAGAGGCAAAACGAAACAGGAGCTCAGCAACAGGCGCCGCCCAACTCATATCAGGCAACATAGTTATGTCGTAAAAGTTAATTTTACGATTTGAACTGTTACAAAGTCATTTCTGGGTTATTATGGGTTATTCTGTATATTTTGTTGGATGGTAACTTGTACATATACAGTATAAATGTATACTGTATAAATGGCAGCAAAAAACAAGTTAACACAGGGGTGTAGATCCAAATACACATATGTCTGTAATCTAAACAGATACACATAGTAGCCCTGAATTACAACCCTACTCAGGAGCATCTATCTGGGCTATCTGAGTATCTGATTTGGCTGAACTGGGTCTTCTGATGGCGGACGTTAATATATCCAGGATTACAGGATTTTCCATCTATAGACAAATGTGTGGCAGCCACATACGATATCAGTCAGACCTGCTGTAAATAGATGTCCTGAACTGGCGCAATAATACTACAATATCACTTCTTCTTGCATCACACGCTCATTCCTTTCCAAAAATTGTCTGCGTCCCATCCTCCTCCTCCTCATCCTGCCAGTACAACCAATAACAGCTGAACCAGTGGAGAAATGTTGGACTATGCTGATTATTGTTACGTTAGTCTCATGTGTATAAAGTCGTGTTTGAGGACAGAAATGGAAGCCCTGCTCCGTCACAGAGAGAGAGACGTGTTAGGGCCAACCGCTCTCCACTTTGCACCTCCTCTCAGGAACAATGCCTCCAATAGGGCAGCGTCCCCCGGCTGTGTTCTTCAGATCAAATAGTCATTTTACTTTAATGTGCAAATGTGATGCTTGAAATCAAATTATGTGCTGAATATGCATGAACACGGTTTTATATTGCATCTCCTCTATGAAACCCAATGACAATTAACTCTCGCCGTCTACAAAGTAAATGGAGACACTTAGCTTCAAACAGTTCAAGGCAGCTCCAGTCTGTCTTTGTTTTTTAACACCCTGTTTACCTCTCGTCAACATGCAGGACAGTTTGGTACATATTGCATTTAAATGACCAATGTAAATAAATATTTATGCAGAGGTACGAGCCAAATGAACACAGATTAGTCAGGCTAATGTCTCAGTGTTGACAGTGCTCACAGGTCCTGTCCTGTTGACTCAGTCACTTTGTTTTCATGCTGGTACAGTAAGTGAGAAGAGGAGAAGTGTGTGAGTGGGAATGATTGGTCTTTCTTGTGGTTGCCTCCGCGGCAGATCGCCGGGCTGCTCAAAGACAACGAAAAGATTGGCTCCAGCCCAGCGGCCGTCCCAACCGATGACGACACAGAAATCAAGAAAATCAAAAAAGTAAAGCACATGATTTAAAACTGTTGCTGCATTTTTAAGAGAATCATTTTTAGATTATGTGGTCGTAAGATGTTGAGAATCTGACTGTTTCCAGGTCCAGAGCTTCCTGCGAGGCTGGATCTGCAGGAGGAAGTGGAAGACAATCATCCAGGATTACATCCGCTCACCACATGCAGAGAGCATGAGGAAGAGGAACCAGGTGGTGTTCAGCATGTTGGACTCGGAGGCCGAGTACGTCCAGCAGCTTCACATCCTGGTGAACAACTTCCTGAGGCCGCTGCGCATGGCGGCCAGCTCCAAGAAACCGCCCATCACTCACGATGATGTCAGCAGCATCTTCCTCAACAGGTTGGATCCTCTCGTCCCACAAAGCACTCACAAAATATAATCATACATCTTAAAGGTGCCCTGTGGAGTTTCTTTAACACTAATAGTTCTGGTAAGCAATGTTATTATGAGTAGAAACTCGATTTGTTTGTATCTCATGTACATGCTCTTCCACTGATCACCAGTTGGTGTTGAAATGGGCCAAGAAACGTAAGACAATGTGCCAACAAGAGGCAAGAAAAGACGACTGCTAGCTAGAAAATGGATGTAAACAATGCAGATTTAAAAACAAATCACATATCAGCTTTGCAAATGTTTTACGGGAACAAAATGCTACCATAAATAAGACCACAAGAATACATGCTGTGCATTTCTTATGTGTTTACCTTTACGATAAAATGTTAGCAAGCTGTATGCTGGCTATTCTGTCATCTAGACAAAGTAGGATCCTTTAATATTGAAGGAATATTTCACCCACAAAATGACCATTTAAATATCAATTATTCACCCCACTGAATTTGTGAAGAAAACTTTATTTTTCTCAAATATATCAGCAGTGAACGAAGAAATCAAAAATTGAGAAAGTTTTTGATGAATTGAAGTCACAGACGGCCATGCTTAACAACAGCAAAACTATATCCAAACATCCATTTACCAAGTTTAACAAAATTTATGCAGTATAATCCGAGTCTCATTTATCTAGTCAAATGCTCAGTACTTTCAAAACTCGAAAGCGCAACTCAGACAGCTGTTCAGTTTAAGTGGATTTATTTTCAATAAGGCAAGAAGGAGTGTCTTGGGTTGATCCAGGGCACTGTGGGGGAAACAGGGCATGCAGGCTGGAGTGGCAGGCAAACGGGTGACCAGTGAGTGTGCACAGAGAAACAAGGTTTAGGCAGAAAATGCAAAAGAAAAAAAAAAGCAATAAGCAACAAATCAGCCGTGGTTAGTACGGCAAGGTAGACTGAATGATCTGGCGGAGACTGAACTGCACGGTATTTGTCCTGCTGAGGTTGATTAGTGGATGGCTTTCAGGTGAGCAGGCAGACTGGCGGCAGGAGTTGGCAAAACGACTGGTGAGAGCCACGCCCAGACACACAGAGAGACAAACAAGGAAAGACAAGAAACAACGGGGAGGGGGGAGAACAGCTGACACATGAGGAATGAAGGAAAGGCTCAGACTATGACAAAAACCTTAATGTTTATATTCAGTTATATTCAAAGCCAGACTCGATTGACAAAAACAGTACTTTTACCCCACTGAGCACAGCACATGCTGGTCTACCGCTGCCTCTATCACTTAGTCTGTGTTATTGTGTGACTTATTGTGTGGTGAATCCAAAATACCAAAGTCACACAACAACACGAGTAAACTAAAGATTGAGGCAGTGGTAGACCAGCAGCTCCTGTCTTTAGCGAGGTAAAATTACTGTTTTTGTCAATGAAGTCTGGCTTTGAAGAGAGCATAGAAAATTTTTACGTTCAGTTCAGTTTTAAATAGTAAGATTTTGGCAAAAATGCATGTGTTAGGGATTGGTAAATGGAGCTGATTTGTAAAGCGCCTTACTTTTCTCCTGACCACTTAAAGTGCTTTAACACTACATGCCACAATCACCCATTCACATGCACATTTATACACTGTTGGCTGAGGCGAGGAGCATCTGACACCTGCTCATCAGTTACAACTGCACCTGCTTGTCAGTTACACACACACACTCACAGCCACCAGGGACAATTTGAGGTTTGGTGTCTTGCCCAAGGATACTTTGATATGCAGACTGGAGGAGACGGGGATTGAGCAATCGATGATCCACAGCCACCCCGGAATGAGTTGTGTGAGAGTTTGCAAAGGGATGTTTTGATATACAGTACAGGCCAAAAGTTTGGACACACCTTCTCATTCAATGCGTTTTCTTTATTTTCATGACTATTTACATTGTAGATTCTCACTGAAGGCATCAAAACTATGAATGAACACATGTGGAGTTATGTACTTAACAAAAAAAGGTGAAATAACTGAAAACATGTTTTATATTCTAGTTTCTTCAAAATAGCCACCCTTTGCTCTGATTACTGCTTTGCACACTCTTGGCATTCTCTCAATGAGCTTCAAGAGGTAGTCACCTGAAATGGTTTCCACTTCACAGGTGTGCCTTATCAGGGTTAATTAGTGGAATTTCTTGCTTTATCAATGGGGTTGGGACCATCAGTTGTGTTGTGCAGAAGTCAGGTTAATACACAGCCGACAGCCCTATTGGACAACTGTTAAAATTCATATTATGGCAAGAACCAATCAGCTAACTAAAGAAAAACGAGTGGCCATCATTACTTTAAGAAATGAAGGTCAGTCAGTCCGGAAAATTGCAAAAACTTTAAATGTGTCCCCAAGTGGAGTCGCAAAAACCATCAAGCGCTACAACGAAACTGGCACACATGAGGACCGACCCAGGAAAGGAAGACCAAGAGTCACCTCTGCTTCTGAGGATAAGTTCATCCGAGTCACCGAGTTCTAGCAGCAGACCCATCTCTAGAACAACTGTTAAGAGGAGACTGCGCCAATCAGGCCTTCATGGTCAAATAGCTGCTAGGAAACCACTGCTAAGGAGAGGCAACAAGCAGAAGAGATTTGTTTGGGCCAAGAAACACAAGGAATGGACATTAGACCAGTGGAAATCTGTGCTTTGGTCTGATGAGTCCAAATTTGAGATCTTTGGTTCCAACCGCCGTGTCTTTGTGAGATGCAGAAAAGGTGAACGGATGGATTCCACATGCCTGGTTCCCACTGTGAAGCATGGAGGAGGAGGTGTGATGGTGTGGGGGTGTTTTGCTGGTGACACTGTTGGGGATTTATTCAAAATTGAAGGCACACTGAACCAGCATGGCTACCACAGCATCCTGCAGCGACATGCCATCCCATCCGGTTTGCGTTTAGTTGGACGATCATTTATTTTTCAACAGGACAATGACCCCAAACACACCTCCAGGCTGTGTAAGGGCTATTTGACCAAGAAGGAGAGTGATGGAGTGCTGCGACAGATGACCTGGCCTCCACAGTCACCGGACCTGAACCCAATCCAGATGGTTTGGGGTGAGCTGGACCGCAGAGTGAAGGCAAAGGGGCCAACAAGTGCTAAACACCTCTGGGAACTCCTTCAAGACTGTTGGAAAACCATTTCAGGTGACTACCTCTTGAAGCTCATGGAGAGAATGCCAAGAGTGTGCAAAGCAGTAATCAGAGCAAAGGGTAGCTATTTTGAAGAAACTAGAATATAAAACATGTTTTCAGTTATTTCACATTTTTTTGTTAAGTACATAACTCCACATGTGTTCATTCATAGTTTTGATGCCTTCAGTGAGAATCTACAATGTAAATAGTCATGAAAATAAAGAAAACGCATTGAATGAGAAGGTGTGTCCAAACTTTTGGCCTGTACTGTAGATTGGTTGTTGTCAAACGTGGACCCCTACAGTATGACTTTAACTCGACAAGAACTTTCTCCGTTTTTGGATTCTTCGTTCACCCTGGAGGCATGCAACAAAAACAAAGTTTTATTCACAAGTTTAATGTAACACAGGGTGTGTAATTGATAAACACAAGGTCATTTGAAGGGTGAAATATTCCTTTAAGGTTAAGGTTCCAGATCAAGTTTTATTTCCCTTCCGATAAATATTTAGTGCAGTGAAGACAGTAACCTGCATGCACTCTCATTGGCCTATTCAGAATCCACCCACACACTCATCCGAGCATGTTTAAGCTCAAAACTTGCACACACATGCTCTCATACACACTGTCTGGTGTCAGGGCTTCACCTTTACCACAACTTTATTGGATGTTGGCAGAATTATGAACACAAATTCTGTATTTGCTTCAGAAGATAATCATGTTTCTTTTCTTTTTTTCAGTGAAACTATTATGTTTCTACATCAGATATTTTACCAGGGTCTAAAAGCCAGAATAGCAAGCTGGCCGACATTAGTGCTGGGTAAGAAACATCTCTACTTTCTCTGTTTTATTTTCATTACTATTTTCAAAAAGCGACCATTGTGGAGCTCGTTCAGAGTGTGAAATACAATTAAATGTGAAGATGAGTTACTCAGAAAAGAGCTCACACAGAACATTACTCACAGGTGTAACGTGTGTGTCATTATATCTTGGTATTGATCTTTCTGTAGCCGACCTGTTCGACATCCTGCTGCCCATGCTGAACATCTACCAGGAGTTTGTGAGGAACCACCAGTACAGCCTGCAGATCCTGGCTCACTGCAAGCAGAACCGTGACTTTGACAAGCTGCTGAAGCAGTACGAGGCCAAGCCCGACTGCGAGGAGAGGACTCTCGAGACCTTCCTCACCTACCCCATGTTCCAGGTGAGCTCATTTGTCTCGATGATATACACAAGAAATAAAAACAGACCCATTTGTTTGCTGCAGAGCCGCAGCCTGGAGCCAGATTTTGTCGTTAATTCTGAGCTCTCGCAGCCATTCTGGGCCAAGTTCTTCTCTCCACATATAAATGTTACCCCTGGGCCGTATAATTCACCAACTTAATACTACATGGCTATAGCTATGCCAATGAAACCCAGTTGTAGCTGTCTGTAAAGCAGTTGGCCCGCTTTGTTTTCTGGATATTCAAAGCCGGATGTCTTTTAACGGCACTGTCTTTGATCCAAATGTAAACGAAGAGGAAGGTTAGTCACCATAATGCAAAACTTTTCACTGGAATTTGCCATCATTCTCAAAATAAATGACAGGTCCTTTTCAGCTACAAGATCAACTCTTTGAATATATTTGAATATTGTTTATATGGTGTACCTTTAGTTCATAGGGTCACTATAAGGTTTTGATTTTAGAGTCCAGAGCCATTTTATCCTGCTCTCTCATCTTAAAATTGTGACTATACTAAATACTAAAGTCATTTTTAACTCACTCACACGCTTTTTCAATTCTAAGTCAATGCAAAGTCATACCGTAGAGTAAGTTATGATCTGCTGTAAACGTGTCACCGAGAAAATTCAGACAGCGACAGGCAGTGTGCATTAATAGCAATTTTCAGTTTTTATTTATCGCCTTCAAAGCATATCGCAGACTTATTACCCTATCTGACCCTTCACTAAGTCCCGCCCCCAGATGAAGACTGGCCAGTCATAACGTAGCATGGAGCCAATTTAAACTAGGATCCAACAACAACACAGCTTAGCTTCATTGACTCGAATGCAGTCGTTTCGGATTTCCTTCATGTTCAGGCAGGTTTTGTGGATGTGGAGCCAAATGTTGTGCCTGGGGCACGTTGTGTATTAATGATACTTGTTACCTGGAGAGGTTGGAAAAAGATATACGTTTCTTCCCTGTTCCAAAACCAATATCAAACCCTGAAAAGTGTAGGGTTAGCTAGCTAGCTACTGAAGATATAGCCTACTGAATGTATACACATGCTGCTTTTGCTTTTTAATGATTGTAACAGTGAAAAAAGACCAACCCTGCTGTAAAGGAACCAGTGAAGGGAAGCAGGGAAACTTTGCTGATATTGAACCAGCTGTGTGTCATTGCACTGTGCACCGATGAACGTTATTTGACTTCCAAACACCGTTCATCTGCACACACTGCGATGACACACAGCTGGTTCAATATCAGCAAAGTTTCCCTTTATATTCCTTGTCTTATGTGGTGATCAGCAGTGATGTGGTGGTTCACTTTTACACTGTGATCTGTAGCCTATAGTTAGGCTTTAGCTTCTAACTATCTTTGTCTTTTTAACATGTTGTTGCTGCTGAGTCAGTTTGACATCCTGGATATATCCTTCAAACACAGACTGTAGACCCCTCTGTCTGCCTCTCTCTGGATTCACTGTTTCATTTTTCCAAAAATATGATAATATTTCTTCAGGGAGTGCAGTTAGCTACAGTGTGGGCAATACGGCATAGGATTAAATGATAATTGTAACCGACTAACCGTCTAATTTCCACTTTAAGCGAGCAGTATTTTCAGTCATGTGTTCTGGCCATCATGGCTCACTCAGGACTTGGCTTCAAAAGCCTGCCTCCTTTTAACGCCCTCATTGGCTCTTTGTCCCATATTGTAGCACTGATCAAGAAAAGAAACAGCAGGCATTTGTCTGCTTTTGCTCAGAATATCCCCGTAGTGTTTTTCATGTCTATAAAAAGCGGTTGTTTTTTTGAGCTCAGGCTTTAATAATGGCTCCTTTTCTGGCAAGGCACGCAGTTTCCCGACAGTCCACTCTGCTGGGGCCTACTGCAGCCTGTGCTGTGTTGATAATAAATTTTGCTGATGAGGCAGATTGTGCTCTCCACTGATCTACTTCTCATTAGTGTAGGTGCACGTTGCCACGTGTATATTCCCGTGTGTGTGAGTCTTTGTGTTGTTGTTGTTACATTTATGCAGGCATGTAAGCTCTTAAATTTGAATGTGACTCCTCTGTTGCTTTCTGTTCTGTCTCTGTAGATTCCCCGCTACATTCTTACGCTCCACGAACTTCTGGCCCACACACCCCATGAACATGTAGAGAGAAACAGTCTGGACTACGCCAAATCTAAGCTGGAGGAGCTTTCCAGGTACTTTAAGTCATAGTCAAGATTTGCAGGGTATCTCAACTTAGCAATGCCACTTTACACAACATAAAGAGCATAGGTTTGGTCTCTTCCACCCAAACAAGTGATGTTATCTTCTGTTTTTATATATTTACAAGATGGTCCCACTCCAAAATATGACCACATAAGGTGTTGTTACAAGCAGATATTATGACCAATATTTCCATTTTGTTTGGTAGTAACCTCAAGTGGTCTTAGTAGCTGAATTATTACAGGAGCAAAGGAGGAAGTCAGGCGGTGTAGTACAAAGAGAGAGAAAGTTTCCTTAAAGTAGGAAAGAGGGAAGGCATTTGGGTCAAACAAGCACTGGACTTCCATCCAGGAGACGGTGTCATAAAAGCATTTTTAGTTTGCTTTTAAAATATGACACTGTTGTAGCAGTTTGTAGTCCAAGTGGAAGAGAATCCCAGAGTAGGACCATGGTGATTACAAAGGGGTTACATCCTTTTTTTTTTTTTTTTTTTTAGTAAAAAGCTAATGTAGAATATAATATTCAATCTGTTGCTCCGCATCTTTTCACTCTGCAGGAAGGCCTTCTTTTGGCATATTTTTGGACAATGTGGATCAGCAAAGTCATTGGAACAAATCTGAGTGCAACAATTTTGCCCAGTTTAAAACATTTGTTAGAAAAGTAATTAAGGGTTAGCAAATGTAATAAGTTACATTACTTTGATTAAGTAGTTAAAATAGCTATTTTATTACAGTTTTAATGGGGTAACTGGTAATTTGTAACCTACTACATTTAAAAAGCAACCTTTCTAACACTGCTCATTCCATACTAGATCCTTTACAGTCTTGTATAGATTAAATGAAAATGATGAAATGTCCCTTTTTCCTAGAATCATGCACGACGAAGTGAGCGAGACCGAAAACATCAGGAAGAACCTGGCGATAGAGCGTATGATCGTAGAGGGCTGCGAGATTCTCCTCGACACCAGCCAGACATTCGTGAGACAAGGTAAAGTGCTTCAGATCCCGGTGAAGAAACCTCAGATTCTACAGAAAAGTAAAACTGCAGGAGAGGGGGATTTCCAGTCTGACAGCCTGTTCTCATCTTCTGCCTCGTATTGATGGGGAAATACTCAGTTTTTTGTTTTTTTTTAAAGCCCATTTTTCTCTCTCTCTCTCTCTCTCTGGGGAACAACATCTTTAATTTCCAAGTGTAATTAGACTGTTCAGAGGCAAACTGATGATGAATCTGGGACTGTAAATGTCACACGTCCCCAACAGGCCTTGATGGATGAGGAAAGGGAAAACAGAAATGGTAGATTATTTAATCCTTAGTATCTCATGTGACTCTACTTGTATTTATATGTAGAGGAAGGCCAGACAAGCATTTTGATATTGATTCTTTCTTTTATTCATTTTCTCCACCTCCTCTTGCTCCTTTTGTAAACCCCCCCCCCCCCCCCCCCCCCCCCCCCCCCCCCCCCCCCCCCCCCCCCGGTCATTGCCTATTTTCCACTCACACATGTATCCTTCTCTCTTTTTCTCCTTCTATTTGCACACACTCTTTTATTACAACATACAGGGTCTCTCATCCAGGTGCCGATGAGCGAGAAGGGCAAGATCACCCGTGGGCGACTGGGCTCTCTGTCTCTGAAGAAGGAGGGGGAGAGGCAGTGCTTTCTCTTCTCCAAGCATTTAATCATCTGCACCAGGGGTTCTGGGGGAAAGCTTCATCTCACCAAGGTGGGCCTGCGCTGCTGAGCTAGCAGTGGAGCTGCTCTTTATTTCAAACATCACAATCTTACGACACCGCCAAAATAAAAAACCTGAATCTGTGAGCTGAACTGAACAGATTAACTGTCGGGAGGGGTTAGAGGGGGTTAGAGATGTCATGGCTTTTATCAGTGGCAATGACCGCTGGAGCTGCACACGCTCATACACACACAGGCTCATTTTACTTGTCTGAAGGTTAATCACCACAAGCGACTTCTTTGTCACTTATACATTGTTTTTTTCTTTTCTTCTGAATAGCGACCATAGCCACTGTAGAGCTGCTGTATGTAACTCTGGAGAATGGTAATTGATTGTTGAGTTGCATTACCAGGTCATGAGATACAGACACATTGGCTTGGCAGTTCAGTCCGACTATCAACCCAAAGCCCAAACCCACATACAGTCTGATTAGATCGTAGGTGGGCCGGACCAGTAAAACCATTGCATAATATCCGATAAATAAGAAACCAAATGTTTCCCTTTTTGTTTAAAACAGTACATTTTAAAAATGCTAATCCATTTACAAAACAGATGACAAAGTGCCTGTGATGTATCCAGAAGAATAAATGCAATTTCAACAATATTTCTCAGTTTTTCCACATTCAGTCAGTCGACTACTCACTGTCATTACATGATATCACCACAGCAAACTAAAGCAAAAGATAAGAACTGTAAAAGAACTGGACTAAACAATCAATTACCATTCCCCAGAGTGAGATACATCACCTTTAAAGTAAGTCTTTTTTAGATTTTAATAAAATCCCACCCTGTTTGTAATACTATTTATAGCCAGCAGTTTTTCAGCTATTGCCATTTTACCATATATTTACATTCAGTATTCCCTTTATTTGTTGATTGTTATAATTATTAGTGGCAGGGTCCGCCACTTCCACACCAGATCCATGCATGACTGTTTTTATCTCACTTAATCAGCCTCACTGTTTAATCCTACGGTCATATTAGAGCTGTGTTATAAAAAGGAGAAAGCTGAAAGACACACGGTGAATGGTGATGGCCAATCTGTAAATGACTAACAAGTTCTTGCACCACGAAGGGAGATTATGCCAAGAACATTTGGGAGTTTATACAGAAAGTAAACAGACCATCCTTTGTGCCACAATTGTTCATCAGTCTAATGGCTTCAGGAAGATAACCAAATTTCCCTTTGTTTTGTTTTACATGCAGTCAAACTACATCACATGCCTAATAGCATTAGCTTACAATAAAGCCATAAAGGACATGTGTGGGGTGATTGATAATTATATGTGTCTGTTTGAGGACTTGTGTTTTGCTAAAATTCACAGTAGCAGTCAACTCAAAGTCAATGACCCCTGAACTTTGTAGTGTAGATGTATAATAGGTGTAATGTTACAGAGCATTGAGTCAAAAGAGGCTGTAGAGAAGACACTAAATATATATTGTATGTTGTTCCCAGAATGGAGTAGTCTCGCTTATAGACTGCACTCTTATGGAGGACCCGGAGGGGACAGACGATGAGTGTGAGTGTTTTATTCATAGAGCTATGCATCATATGTACCATGTGTGCTAATGTACATAATGTATGATTACTACAGCATGCCAGAATGTATCAATATTTTATCATTTATATTTGGAACAATTGAAAATATAGCTAAATGGTGATTTTCCCCTAGATTTTTGTTAATGTTTATACAGTATAAACACTTGTAAAATATGCGTTTTTATGTCTTTACTGTTTATGTGCATGAATTTATGGAGAAAATGACTTCTAGTTATGTTTTTGTGTTCGCCTCAAAGCCAAATCAGACAAGAGCGGCCAGGACATGGAGCACCTGGACTTCAAGATTGTCGTGGAGCCAAAGGACAGCCAGTCATTCACAGTCATCCTGGTCGCCTCCTCGAGGCAGGAAAAGTCTGCATGGACCAGTGACATCAGCCAGGCAAGTCAACACGCATCACAGTCCCCAGCAGTCAGACGAGAAGCCGAGGATGTCGGCAGAACGCCTGCATGTTACAGAACTCACTAGCATTCCCTCTGTCCTCTCTGTTTACTTCTGCTGCATCTGCTCCACAGTGCATAGACAACATCCGCTGCAATGGGCTGATGATGAATGCCTTCGAAGACAACTCCAAAGTCACAGTGCCACAGATGATCAAGTAAGTTATTTTTTTATATGCAGCTCTTTGCAGTTTCTCCTTTTCCCTGGCATTTATTTCTAATTTTGTTCTACTTCTTTTCTATTTTCTGAGTAGGTCAGATTCAAGTCTGTATTGCGATGATGTCGACATCCGCTTCAGTAAGATGATGAACTCCTGCAAGGTGCTGCAGATCCGCTACGCCAGCGTTGAGCGCCTGCTGGAGAGACTGACCGACCTTCGTTTCCTCTCCATCGACTTCCTCAACACCTTCCTGCACTCCTATCGCGTGTTTACCACCGCCGATGTGGTGCTAGACAAGCTCATCACCATCTACAAGAAGCCCATCAGTGCCATCCCTGCTCGGTGAGTCACATGACATGTTGACAGATTTGAATGTTGCAAGGTTGTTGACGGCATTAACAATAGACAAACAAATCTAATTTGAGATGTTTGGCATGCTCCCAGGCTTTACTCTGCTGTATAAAGATGAAATCGATCTTTGATGATGTGAAGCTTTGTCATCCTTTTGTCTATGCAGAGCATGTGCAGAAGCCAAGGAGCTTGTAGGTTGAACTTATAGGTTCAGCTGCAGCCATATATCTTGTTTCCTTCTGTTTTTAAAGGCCAGAAGTTATTAATTCATTTCTGTTTTTACATATAAAAAGATTAGTTTCACCTGAGGAGTCTACTTGTTTTACAGCAGCTACAAATCAACAACTTGGAGCTATTACTGTTCGATGAGTCAGTGACATCAGGAGAGGAGCCCTAGCAACATTCATATGAGTAATACAGTTTGAAATGGTCACATGATTGATGACCAAATATGTGTGAAGTTAGATGTTTGTGGTGATTGTTGTGTGAAGGACATAGATAGAAAGGGTTATTATTGGTTGTCCTCGAGAAGAGACGCTAGTGAGTTGCATTATGGGAAATGTAAGATCCAGAGCTGCATCAAGTCTGACCATGTCCTTTCTAATTTGTTACTGCATGTCCAAGGAATACTTCACCCACAAACTGAACATTTGCGTATTACAATTACTCATCCCATGTCATGGTGAATTAGGGTGCTTTCACACCTGCCCTGTTTGGTTCAGTTCAATCGAACTCAAGTTTGTTTGCCCCCTAAGTGCGGTTTGTTTGGGCAGGTGTGAATACACTTGGGTGTGCGCCAAAACAACTGCCCAAGACCTTCTTGAAGAGGTGGTCTCGGTTCGGTTACAACAGAACTCTGGTGCGGTTCGTTTGTGGTGAGAATGTGTTCCGACCTGGATCTGAACCAACTGCAGTCACATGACACATTGTTTGGGTTAAACATGAGCATGTTACAGTCCTGGAGGATTATTAATGTGCACCTCCTCCTGTACTGCCTTAATATGCACATTCAGCACATCCAATGCATCAAAACATTGTTTTCTAGTTGGAGCCACGCCTCGTTTTCAAACTGTATGGTTTGACTAAAATGAACAATGACAGCAATATAGTCCACGATGAGCAGCGCTAAAATCAACCTGCGTAGTTGTCCCTCCATTGTGACATTAGAAAGTGTCACATTTATCCTGCAAGTGTACTCTTCTTCAACACTTTGTTTACTTCCTGGATGTTTCCCGCATAGAAATTCTGACCAACCAACAGCAGCTTTCTAGCACAAGGCATTTGATCTGGTCAATTTGTAAATGCTGCTGTGAGAACATGAACCAACTCTAGAGAATTATGCAACTTTGTAACAAAATTAGTTCCTGCAAGCGAACTCTAGGTCTGAAAACACCCTTAGTGATGAAATGTTTTTCTCACATGCCTCCATGAAGAAGGATAATTCCTCTCATGATTTGGAGTAGAGGGCCACATTTAAAATGTATCAAAATATCTGTTTACAAACTCACACAACTCTTACAGTATAATCAAAGTCTCATTCATGCAGTCGTATGCTAAGCACTTCACAAACACATTGCATTTTTGCTAAGAGTTCAAATGCATGGGCTTGCCTAGGCACGTTATTTGTCTATGCATGAGATTGTTTATTTTGTTTATTTTATTCATTTGTTTTTTATTTAACCTTCATTTTACCAGGCAGATTTGCTTGAGTTCAAATGATCTCTTTTACGAGCAAGGCCAGGCCAAAATGGCAGCATTAAAGAACAAAACATAATAAGACACACATAAAGAAGAAAGCACATGCGTTAGTATTTTTAAATTGTAAGGTTTTAGTGAAAATACATGTGTTTCTTTAAGTACTGAGCATACAACTGGATACACGAGACTTGGATTAAACTGCATGAGTTGTGTGAGAGTTTGTACACGGATGTTTTAAAATAGTTTTGCCACTTTTAAATACAGTCCCCCTTTTACGGCAATTCATCAAGAACTTTCTCAGTTTTTGGCATTTTTGTTCACTGTGGAGGCATGCAAGAAAATTTGGTGAAGATATTTTTAGCAATTCAAGGCGCCGTAACAGTGGCATAAGGGCTCCAGTGCACACTATTATGACGGGCCCTAAGCCAGGCTACTTACTAGTTATGCACCTAAACTAGCTAACGTATAATCTTATCGTCACATGATCAAATAGAGACATGACATTGGATAACACCAACAAACATATTGCCCAAAAATCATCATTGCATATACAGTACATATGACAAAAACACCAATGGAACGAAGGGATTACTTCATTTGTTATAGTTTATTTATAGTTTATAGAAAGCAGGTATATGTTTTATAACATTTTGTTAGAGATTGCTACTGGCTATTTTACAAAAAAAAAAAACAAGAAAAACATGATGGAGATGGGTTTCCCTTTTCAAAGGCACATATAGCAAATGGCAAATGGAGTATTTCTTTGAACACAGGCATATTTCTAAGGTAGCAATCTAGATTACTCAATAGGGCCTGTTTTCAGCCCAACATATAGTTGGAGGGCCCCCTCACCCCGTGAGCCCCAGTGCAATTGCTCTGCCTACACTGTCTATGCTTGCGCCCCTGCACCATAACTTATACACAAATGGTCATTTTGTGGGTGAAGTATTCCTTTAAATTTGGGATGGATATGAGGAGGGTGAAATGATACTTGTTTTGTGTGTTACATGTGACACTGGAACAGCTAAGTCCGATGATCTTCAAAGCTTTGTGTGTGTGCATTTGGTTAATGTTTTGTTGGTTAATGTGAGCACAGAAAACAGCAGATGGAGCAGTAGCTGACAACAGGCTCTATGACAGGCTTCAGTATCACCGCATGTGTGTTTGTGTGTGTATTTATGTGTGTGTTCAGTGGTCAAAGGCAGTAATTGGGTCCAGTCTCGCCTGCCTGCCTGGGAGTGTCTCAACTGGGCTCTGTCGCTCTATGGCAACCAACCTCAGTGCTGCAGGACCCCACCCTCCCCTCCCTCCCTCTCTCCTTGTCTGCAAAAGATCCATAGTGTGAAATATTGACGGAGTGTTGCAGTGGGGCTCACTCGCCGCTCCGCAGGCCTGGAGCGAGGGCCCCTCTGTGGGGTTCAGATCACGGGGAGCTCTCCATGCCCACGCCCTGCAGCATGCTCTCCCGTGGCGCTTGTCATGTCACTGTGTGACACCTACACTTGGCTGCTTGTGTCAGCAGTGGCCATGCGCACTATCACTCGCTGTGCTATTTATGGGAACCCGTGAGGTCGCCAGGAGGGTGGCAGGGAGTGGGAGAGGTTTTCTGCAACACTGCAGCTTGTATCCTGCTCTAAAACAACGAGACGTGGCTACAAAGAGAGTTCTGGTTGCTGGGATGACTTGGTTTGCATAAATTATTTAGGAGGTGCTGTGTATTTAACTAAGCTCTTAAAACACAGAGAATAGTTACCAAATATCAAAGAAACATATTCCTGTGTCTTAAATTCAAATGCATATATCCTCCCTTGATGCAGGTCCCTGGAGTTATTCTTTGCCAGCAGTCAGAACAGTAAACTCCTGTATGGAGAGCCTCCCAGCTCCCCCAGGGCCAGCAGAAAGTTCTCCTCCCCACCTCCTCTCGCTATCGCCAAGAATTCATCCCCAAACCGCCGGCGCAAGCTCTCCCTCAACATCCCCATCATCACTGGGGGCAAAGCTCTTGACCTGGCTGCCCTCAGCTGCTCCTCAAATGGCTATGCAAGCATGTACTCATCCATGTCCCCATTCAGCAAGACCACCTTGGACATCAACAAACTGTACGTGTCCAGCCCCATCTCCAGCAAAATCCCAGATGAGGGAGAGGACAAGAAGGACAAAGTGGAGGACGCTTCAGTGTGCAAACAAGGTAATCGCCAAGAGCCAATCCTCAGTAAATTATTACAATTTTGCAGTGATTCCTTTCACAGTATGAGTTCTTTCAGCTTGATACATGTAAATGTATCAAGCCTCTTGAGTTTGGATATTTTTTGCTAAATATGGTGTCAGTTTCTTCGTGAAACTCTGTTATAATACATACACGTTCAACAGCTAGCACTGCCTAACCCACAAAACTTCGCTTCAATGCATTTCCAGTCATCATGTATAAGGGCCTGACACACAAAGCCAACAGTTGGCCGTTGGTGAGCACAGTCACCCTAGTTTTTGTGGTGTGTCCTGCAACATTGGCCCTAGTCCAGTCTTGTCACGTTTTTTTTTGTCCCATTTGGCACTGAAGACGGCAGAGTCCATTGGTGAGAGAAATCACTCTGATTGGTGGTTAAGCCTACTGCACAAGAAGAGAAATGAAAGTGAGGAAAGCAAAAAAAAAAACAGCATCTTGAATCTGTCGGTCTTCCAGTCTCCCTTTTTGAAATGACGAGTACAGACTACCGCCACCTGCTGGTATGAAGAGTTATGTCCTCTCACACAGACTGGCTGTAGTCTTTGCAGTGTCTTCAACCGCATGTTTTTGGCACAGACGATGTGAGAGGACACAACAGTCGGCCTTCATCCCCACTAGTTCTTCAGTGTTGGTGTGGTGTGTCTGAATCTTAAGTTTACATCAATAAAGATGAAATACTCATTTAAATGTAGTGAATTAGCATCCCACTTAGATGTAGTTGGCTATGGAAGCTCAATACGATGTTACAGAAATGTCACTGACAACAATCTGTCGCTCTTTGAGGGGCAAGTAGCAGACATCCCAGTTACTTCCGCAGCCTTGCGCTGCATTTCATGGCTTACCTGATCAGTTTCCTTTGCGACTCATTATCAACGTATTGTTTGAACATCTTTTTTGTAGCGTCCATGTTGTTTCTGCGTTACAACTCATGAACGCACCAAAGTCGGAAGAATGACCATCCGAGAAGCACATGAATACACCACTGGTAGAAGTCTCGTCTCAAGTCTGAATTATTTGGTCCTCGCTCGTTCATTCAGTGCGGTTGCTACACTATGTTACAACACGTTAGGGATTCATGAGCACTCAGAATACATACTAAGCATTAAAAAGAGTTGTTCAAAAAGATTAGTTTGTTCCTTTTATGCACACCACTACAATTTTGATCTGCAGGAATTGTTTTTACTGATCTGTGTAATTTTGTTCCGATACAGATCTCTCTGTACGAGAAGAAAGTGACAACGATCAAAACCAGAGTGATGACGGGGACGCAGAGACCTCTCCCACCAAGTCACCAACCACCCCGAAAAACATCAAATGCAAAAACTCCTCAGGTACATTGTGTCCTCAACATGTGCAGTGACATAATTACATAATTCTCTACACTAACATGCCACCAATCCAAAGCAGCAGCCAGTTCCACATTCATTAGAGCTCTGTCTGCTACATAATAACAACACAGCTTGTAGCTGAAAATATTCTAAGGTTTGGAAAAAGGCCACAATCTACTCTCTGTTGAGGATGAACTGTTTTATATGGAAAATAAAGCTCTCACTTTGCAGTAGGTTTTAATGATCAATTTGTTAATATATTTTGTGCAAAAAGGAGTAAAACAACCTTCCACTGTGAAGCATAAGTCATATAAAATATCATTTCTTTCGATGGTTATGATCATGTGGGGAAAGCCAATGCCTGGCTTCAGTAGGTGTTAGGGAAACTTGTGTCATAGCAACTACATCAAGCGCGTGTTTTCCCTTCCGCCCCCACTAATGAGGCTGTTTCACCGGAGCCAAGATTATCTGTGCCTTCTAAATCTCATGACAAAATCACACGATAGATTTTAAAATAATCTACTGTGTGAAATAAAGAATGAACTGAGATGGAGAAGCAGCGAGTGTCTCACACGGTGTGGGGTTCTTAGCTGCTTATGATCTGTCTATGTTCCCAGGATTTAAACATAGCAGACTGCAGAGAATCTGTTGATTCCTCTGTTATGCTGATATTTGGTGGCTATATTTAGCTGCAACCATCTTGAATATCAAAGCCTCTTGTAAAGGAAAGTCTGGAGGGAAACTGGTGCGTTGGCCTGTAGTGCCCCCTAATGGAGGCTTGTGCAATAAGAAGCAGGTCATTCTGCAGTCTATGCAGATTCAGTCACACTATAAATAATATACTGATAAATATAATATTTTAGCGTCAGTTTACTGTAAACTTTGAGATAAATAAAATGTGATTGACCACCTATTTGATATACATGCCACCAAAATCAACCTCTTGCCAGTTTCCAGAGGGTTATTCTTTCTTCATGTGCGCTTCCCTGTAGAGTTCTCCCTGTTTTCCTACAACAATGGCATGGTGATGTCCTCGTGTCGAGAGCTGGATAACAACCGCAGTGCCCTGTCTGCTGCCTCAGCCTTTGCTATTGCTACAGCTGGAGCCAATGAGGGCACACCTACCAAGGAAAAATATCGGCGGATGTCCCTCGCCAGCACTGGTACACACACTTATTCACTAATCCATCAGGACTTAAGTCCAGTTACAGTGACAGGTTAACATAACCAGGGTGCCTAGAACTGTAAAACTGCACCATGTCAGGTCAACTGATATTAGATTTAGGGTTTCTCACAAGGGTGTAGGTTTCATTTTTACAGTGGGGGGAACACATATGAAATGGGGTTTGTTAGTTCTCTTGATTTCTTGATTTCCTGCTCTCTGGTGATTTTTTTATGCAACAATTTGTGTATATTATGCATCATTTTATTGTGCTGAAATAAAGTCCTCTACTACTTATAATAAATGAATATTGAATTTCCCCCTAAAATTTACGCCTATGGTTCCTCCAAACTTTGTCGTTGTTTGTTGCCAAAGTGGTATGTGTCATTGTGATGAGAAATTCAACTAAAGTCTCTCTTGATATATATATTTCTTTTTTTTGCAGGTTTCCCAACAGATCAGAGAAATGGAGACAAGGAGTTTGTGATCAGACGAGCAGCGACCAACAGAGTCCTGAATGTGCTGCGGCACTGGGTGTCCAAACACTCTCCGGTAAAACATCACAGTACAGTTCAACGCATATCTACAGGCACAGATGGCCACAGGCACCTGCTGAAACACTGACATATTAACAGCAGTTTTGTTTTCATATAAGGATTAATGTCCTTTTTTTCACATTGATCATGTAATTTAGCTTTTGGAGCAGTGAAACAGGAGTTTTAAACACATTTCTGTCAAATTTTTAAATTTCTTTATATGTATAAACCCATATGTATTCTAAATAACCATAAACTTGATATCCATCATCCAATCAGTTAAAAAACTATAATGTGAAATTAAGTTTACTGTCTTGCAAGTGTAGTGATTTTGCGAATGTCCTAGGATGCCTTTGCCCAATCTCAAAGACAGCTGCTTAAGTATTACATCATCATTATGCATTGAGTCCACCTCCTAATACACTGCACAAACAGCTTATTCTTTGAGGACTGTTGAAAGTCATTTTTTGTCATTAACCGATGAAAAAGTAGGCTAGAAAAAAAGAGCAAGAATTGGTTCACTAAAGAGTTGAAAACATTTTAAAATAACACATAAAAGCAAACAATATGACAAGTTGGTGATTTATGATGAAAATAATTGTGCAGAAGTTTTCAGCAATGTGTGCTGTCCGTCCCTCTGCAGGACTTTGAGAGTAACAATGAGCTGAAGACAAAAGTTATTGCCTTCCTGGAGGAAGTGATGCACGACCCTGAGCTGCTGACCCAGGAGAGGAAAGCAGCAGCAAACATCATCAGGTGACTTTGTGTAACCCAACTCTTGAAAAGTTACATTGTACATATCTGAAAGCTTGACTTTTTCTTTTGCTGTCTGTCAGGACTCTAACTCAGGAAGATCACGGTGACAATCAGATCACCCTTGAAGACGTGACACAACTGGTGAGTGAAGTCAGTAGCTGCTGAAAACAAATGTTTAGTGCAGGGCAGTTTTAAAGCTTCAGGAGGCAAGATGGCAACAAAAAAAGGGATTTTTGTATAATTTTCGGGCTGTTTTGCGTCTCCTAGGTGGGAGAAGGGAAGGCCGAGCCCTTTGAGAACCACTCTGCGCTGGAGATCGCAGAACAGCTCACTCTGCTGGACCACCTGGTGTTTAAGGTCATCCCATACGAGTGAGTGCCATCAAATCTTAGCCGTGCATGTCTGCGGCCAAGAAGAACGCACACACCAAATCAGTGTTTTTCTCTTTGTTAATCTGTTAACAGGGAATTCTTCGGACAAGGCTGGATGAAGAATGACAAAAATGAGAAGACGCCGTACATCATGAGAACAACAAAGCACTTCAACGATGTATGTTCCGCTCAGCAAGCCTCTAACCTTTATTGACTGTCAAACATGATATTGGGTCTAATCCATTTGTTTCTCTCGTTCCTCTGCAAGATAAGCAACCTTATTGCCACAGAGATCCTGCGCTGTGACGACGTGGTCACTCGAGTGGTGGTCATAGAGAAATGGGTGGCTGTGGCCGACATCTGTCGCTGTCTCCACAACTACAACGCCGTGCTCGAGATCACCTCCTCCCTTAACCGCAGCTCTGTCTTCCGCCTCAAGAAGACCTGGCTCAAGGTTTCCAAGCAGGTGTGTATCTCCCTGTGTCGTTTGTATAGTTTCTTTCTTTCTAATGTGTTAAATGTTTTCATTAGTGTGTTCTTGATAACCTCTTCCTCCAGACGAAAGCATTGATTGACAAGCTGCAGAAGCTGGTCTCATCAGAGGGGAGGTTCAAAAACCTGAGAGAGGCTTTGAAGAAGTGAGTTCAGTTCAAGGACATAGTTTTGTACTGGATCAATACAGCAAGAGTGCAGTACAAGTGCATGATGTGTGTGTGTGTGTTTTTCTCCACAGCTGTGATCCTCCCTGTGTGCCCTATCTGGGGATGTACCTTACTGACCTGGCTTTCATCGAGGAGGGAACGCCAAACTACACCGAAGACAACCTGGTCAACTTCTCGAAGATGAGAATGGTGAGATGTTTGGTGGTTTATCACGGGAGAGACTTAACAAAAACACATGTTTTACAGTCAAAATTCAACATCCTCCTGTTTCTCGTGTTTTCAGATTTCTCACATCATCAGAGAAATCAGGCAGTTTCAGCAAACAGCATACAAAGTTGACCTGCAACCAAAGGTAACTGAATACCACAACTGTAGACAGGTAGAGTCAGGAGAACAGTTAGATTAAAGGACTTAATTGCAACAGACATGAAAAAGAAGCTATATTTACTACGAACCCTTGACACAGGTCATGTATGTCAACCTGCTGTAGCCACTTCAACTAAAGAATTCAACTATTAGTATGTTCTATTTTAAAACTTTTCTGAGAAATCAAATTATCCACTAATTCACAAGAAAAATGCAAACAATAGGAAAAAAACTAAAAAGACAAAACTGATTTCAAGTAGCAAAAATATCTGCTTTTCTGCTTTCTATCCTGTTAACCATCTTGTGTGGTGTCACAGCTCAGGTCTTGGGCTGGACAAAACTAGGACACACACGGGCAATTTAATAAATAAAGCGATTTATTAACTAAAAAGTAATCAAAACAAGTTACTAAAATTGACGTGAGAAATCTGTAGAGTCAGAGGTGAAGGGAGTAAATGAGTGTGTGAGTGTTGTGCTGTAAAAACAAGGGCTGAAGAAACAAAGGGGTGGGGTGAGGTGAGGTGAGGTGAGGTGAGGTGAGGTGAGGTGAGGTGGTCTGCCAACATGTGCTGGCTGCTCTGTTTTAAATGTGCATGAGACACACTGAGCCCAGGTGTGTCCTATGACGCTGATTTCACTTAATCAAGGACTGCAGCCCTGGGATGAGACAGCACAGACACAGCAATGGAACAAAGCAGAGGGGCCGGCACAGTGGCGATTCTGACTTCCTGACCAAAATACATCAACATAAACTAGACAGATTGTGAGACAATCAACAGGATAGGAAATAAAAAGAAATATGCCAAACAAAATCATATTTATTTGTCTTTACATTTCACTATTTTTTATTTTTTATTCATGAGTTGTTGGATTCTTCAGGCCTCTAAAAACTGTTGGAATAAAACAAAGGGATAGTCAATTATTAGTTGACCTAGTCATGAGCTATAGCCTCCTGCTACCCTGCGTCATCACATGAGGACATTACATTTTGGGTTTGCTGCACCTTGTACTTCATTTTACTTAACTTAGACCTGTTGTCTTTATTCATGGACACTTTTTGTGCCATCTAGTGGTAGTAAGACCACAATACACAACTGCATGTGAACACAAGATGGCAGCAAACTCTGCCAAGTCAGTCTGCAGCAGATTCCGAAACAAAAGTGGACAAGGTACAAAACCTGATCACATTTTATGGTTTAATCTTGTTTATTTATGCTTAATAATGTTTTTAGTTTAATATGGCATACAAATTTTGACCAGTTTTAGCAAAAGTAACAGGCTAAGGAACTGTTCATTTGGAAATATTTGTTTGAGGACACTGGGACATTATTATTGTTTCATTCAAGGACATAGAGACATTATTATTACCACAGCATTTCACAAAGGCCAATAAGGTGTTATAGACTGTTCTTATGAACAAAGAAGACATTCCTAGCTTGCAGTATGGATATGTTGCATTATTTGCAATTTCGCTTTTGCACAGCCATGTTCAGGCATTGAAATAAACAGTAATGAACATTTTTAGACTTGAACAGTAACTTCTAACCCACAGTTACATTGAACACTGAACAAATGTTGCGTTGTTTGTAATTTTGTTTTTGCACAGCAATGTTCAAGCATTGAAATAATATATGTTTTATATTTTATTACAAGCTTGTGACCAATAAATATAAATCCATCATCCCCATATGAGGACATCATGTTTTTCCCCAAACTGTTTTCTGTTCAAAGACCTTTATTTATTTATTTTTTTTTAACTTATCGGGTCCTACTAATCCCAAATACCTAGAAGAGAAGACGCATACCAGACAAGCTGGGGTCCAGCAGGATAGATGATGGGTCACAAGTACTTATTGCTTTATTTAACCTTTTGAAACCTGAGCAAATTGACTTGATTTCTTTTAAAAGCAAGCAAAAGAAAAAGGCAATGAGCAACAAAAGAACAAATGACCCCCCAAAAATGAGCACAAAATTAGTAAAAGGAGAAAATTAAAAACAAGAAAATTAATTAAAAGAAGGAAAGGCAGAAAGAAAGTTAAAAACAAACAAACAAGGAAATGACATGCAAAGAGTGCTTTAAAATTCTAATAATTCTGAAACATAATTTTAAAATGTAATAATGATAATATTTATAAATATAATTTTTTGCCTAGCTTTTTTTTTCTTTTCTTTTTTTCAATTGGTGGGACATTTCTTCTCTTTTCTCCATGTTTTTGAAAGAAACTGCACCAAATTGCTCAAGGTTCAAAGGATTAAATACTTAAAACTTAATACTTACTTAAGTACTTAATAAAAGGCCTCTGAAAGCAGCACAAGAACATGATGTTGCTCCAGGTTTCAAAGGGTTAAAAGAGTTACAAACAATTAGCTTTGGAAATGATATTGGCTGCTATAGCTGTTTTGTATTGTCTGAACAGTGTAAATATTAATTTAAAAGAGAGAAAATTCCTGAAATGTGCCTTTCTGTTTTTATGTTCCAGGTAGCCCAGTATCTACTGGATAATAGCTTTGTTCTGGATGAAGAAAGCATGTACGAAGCCTCACTCAGAATTGAGCCTAAAGTGCCCAACTGATGAGGAAGCTGGTCGTCCACATTATCTCCTCTGTTAATATTACACATCAGTTAACATACACATCAACTTTTGTATAGTTGTACATGTTTAAGATATTTGCTCTTCTGTACAGTAGATGTTTAAGGTTGTTGACGTCACAAAACCTTTCAGTGTATATTTTATGTTTGTTATCGTTGCCATGACGCCACCTGCTTTAAGGATTTATTTTTTATTTTTGGGGGGTATTTCAAGCATAATAACAGAGGTCTCTTTGGTTGCACACGACTGTGTCCTCTCAGTGACCAATGACATTATTTTGCATCATCTCATACTATGTTGACTTTGCACTTTCTGAGCATTCGTGCTGCCGGCCGTTGTTCTCTTTGCTTGAGTTTTATCGATGACTGAGTTTCTCTGCAACCAATGTAGCATTGTAAAAATGTAACTGCATCAAATCAGGTAAAAGAGCACAGAGAATACAGCTGTATTTAAAGATAGGGGACAATGATCAGTGGAGGCGACAGAGAGGTACACGAAGCATAACTGTCTCTGTGCTTCCCGAGCCAAAACAAGAGGGATTTGTTTTTTCATTTTTGCTCTCTGAAGTCAGAGGTTCCCAACCATGTTTAGCACTGCAGACAGTTTTTATATTGACGATATCATTGCGGACAAGCCCCATGGAATAGGCCGGCGATTAAAAGGAAAACAGAGCTACTAACACTGAATGAGTGGTCAGTGTGCTGATGGAGACATCAGGAGCCAAATGCTAACATCAGCATGCTAACATGCTCATGTTTACCATTTGCGCCATCTTTGTTTAGTGTCTTAGCATGCTGACGTTTGCTAATAACCCCTAACAATTCAATTCAGTCCAAAACACTCTATTAGACAATATGGGGCGGCACATAAATAAAGGTAACACTATATAGGAAATTTTAAAAATACTTTCAAATGCAAGGAAAGCTGTACACATTACCTATAACACGTAAACCTAATATAAGCTGTAGCCTACTAATAACGATAACGACATGAGAATAAAGTGCAAACACACAAACTAACACAAAGTACAGCTAAGGCCGATGGGAATGTTGTTAGTTTTGCAGGTATTTGATCAAAAGTATTTAACAAATTTGAAAGGTCCACAAGATTTACGGAATCTATCGGCAGAAATAGTATATAATATTCATAACTATATTCTCATTCATTAGTTTATCATCACCTGAAAAGTTATAACTGTACTTTTGTTACCTTAGAATTTGTTTGATTACCTTATAGTTACATCACCATAGCTCTCCTACCCCAGGAGTAGGCAGCCTGCAGCTCTGGAGCCACATTCAGCTCTTCGTGCCCTTTGACAAAAACAAAAAAAAATCATATGGAAATTAATTTTAATATTCATTTATTAGTGCTGTATGCCTAAAGTGATTCTGACACTCTTCACCTGTAAAACATGTAGACTATATACTGAATAAAAATAACTTTATTTAACAACAACATTTAGACAACAGAAATATGGGTCAGTCACCTTCAGCTCAGCGCCTTTCCACTACATTTTGCCAAATCTTAATAGCAGTGGCTACAGTAGTCTCAAGTCTTCCTCGTTTGGCTTGCTATGATTTTCAAATCCAAAAAGGAAAAGTTTTGGAAGACAACAGAATTTAATAGTGTGTGAAGAGATGTGTTTGCTTCTACCACCAACTTTGCAAAGTTAAAGTTCCAAATAATCATAAATAGCCCACTGCAGTGCCACCTGGTGGTAAAACATGTTAATGAATGCTCATTTAGACCTTTAAAAATGATTCCTGATCTAGAACGGCTCCTTTGATAGTGAAGGCTGCCGACCCCTGTCCTACATGCTTGGCACACAGGAGAACTTTCAGCTCTGCAACCTCACCACTAGATGCCACTAAATCCTACTTACTGGACCAGGGCTATTCAATTACAAATTCAATTGTGACAGACTTTTTCAGCAACCTACTGAAAACCTTTTTTAGCTCTCTCTCTCTCACACACACACACATACACACACACATATACACACACTGTATATACATATATTATTGCACTTACTCACAGTAACAAGTGTAGTTGTTGTCAACTAGAGTAATCTTGAAGTTATATTCCCTTCATCTGCACAGTGGCCTCTCTGCTGTTGTCTGACTTCACTCTGTCACGTTTGTGCGTGCCTGTGTAGTGTCTCTGCATGTGTGTGTGCTGTGAAGAGTAGGTCAGCCCTGACATGCAGAGAGCAGGAGAGAGGCTGCAGCATGATGATACATGAGAACAAAGCTTTAAAAGGTAATGATAAAAGAGCCAGTAACTTCAGAGCTTATTATTACTACGGTCCAGATTAATTTTGCTCCGGGCCATTTATTACCAGCTCTCCGTACCCATCCTGTCCGGCCCACTCAGAGGTTGCTTCTGGGCTGCATGTGGCCCGCGGGCCACCAATGAATAGACCTGCACTAGAAGTCAGGGATCACCAAAGTTATTATAATTCATCCTGAGGGTGACAAGAATATTTGTACCAAATTTCATGACAATCCATCTCACAGTTGTTGAGACTTTTCACTACAAAACAGAAATGTGTGATCCTCATGGTGACGCTAGAGGAAAGAGGGGGTCACTAAAGTCAGTCAGCCTCATCCTCTGGGTGTGTTAGATATTTGTACCAAATTTCAACGCAATCCATCTCATAGTTGTGGTATTTCAGTTTGAAAATACCCATTATACACAGTCTGGATCAAAGTGGTGGTGACAGACTGACCAGCACTGCCATGTCTAGAGTCATGCTGCTAGCACAGCTTAAAACTAATGCCTAGTTGGTGAGAATGTGACAGATGCAGTTTCTTTGCTCCCTGATAGCAGATTTTCTGAGGGCCAGTAACGGTCTACAGGGGTTGGGAACCTCTGCTCTAATGTCTTCATTAACTTAAAACTGACAACATTTTAATCGTCTTTTTATTTGTCTCTTAGCTTAACTTAGCCTCTTGTCACGCAAGGTGCCCAATCTTACCTCAGTTTATTTTATCTAATCAGTTATAAGCTGTGTGAGGACACACAGCAATAGCGACATCTCTTTAGACCACTGAGAATTTACGATTAGTCATCTGAATTTACTGTTGCACTTAAAACACACCAATACAGTACAGTGAGTTCTACCTATGTTCAAATTTCATGTTTCTTAGTTTTTAGTTCGACTCATGACAAAAAGCTCCCATGCGGTGGAAAGTGTTGTACCTTCAGGTCCAGCGATACTTGTGTAGAGTTAAAGGTTGTTGCTCTTCTGTAATTAAAAGACAATCTGTCCTTTTTGCTGTTCCAGTGATTGTGGAACGTGACTGTATATCACTCTGTTATATGCATTGCTGTTTAAAACTATGATAAAAACGTATGTGAATGACCTCTGCCTGCAGCATTCAAACACTATTTTTGTAGTAGTATAAGATAGAGTGACCTGCTCTTTATATGAACATGGGAAAGTATTTTGTACTTTGTTGTTAACTCACCTCACTGAGATGTGCTGTACATTTTGTACATGCAACCCTGCATATTTCTCAATGTGGAACAGTGTAATCCTTTCAAAAAAGAGGAAAAAAAACAACAACAACAAAAAAAAGTTGTATCTCAAGCTTAAACACAAAACGCTACAACAGTGTGGTCCCGAAACCATGACTTAGAGGTAGGAGAAACTTCAAAGTGTTTTGCATTTATACTGTAATCCTGTCTATAACCATTTCTGTTAGCAGGAATATAGTAACGTAGTGCTTATTCTGTGAATATTTGTATGTATTTTTACTATGTATGTACAGTACACTTTTGAAGCTCATGTGGCAGGCATGCAACACCTTCACAGGCAGAATAATACTATATACTTATACTGTATACACTTATACATGCACATACTCTTATAAGGTATATAAACAAATAAACATTTTGCTGTTAGCAATACCCAGTGGTATGAAAATTATCTTTCAACCCTCATGTTTCCACACCTTAAGAAATATTCCCAGTTTTGTAAGAAAAAAATATGAAAAGATAACAAAAGAAAATATATGATGATGATGATGATGATAACAACAAATAAACAAAAGTATGTTTCCCAGTTTACATCTTGCTAATAAATCCATTTTATATCAGGGGCAGTTTGTCTCAAGTGTTTTTGTAGATTGTCTATCAGTCGACATCGTGCTTGCTCAGAATGCACAAATTTAACAAACAAATGTAACATATCCGTGGTTTGCAGTACTATATAATGCCAACATTTATGGTGATCGGGTTGCTTCGGAAAAAACATAACCCCCCCTTGAATACTAGCCTACCAAACAACAAACAGTGAACTGGTGGCATTTTGGGCCCCTAGGATCTGTTGCCTGCTCCACCCAGTTGGTAATCCAGCCTTGTATTTACAAGCATTTGAAGGAGAAACTTGCTGAACAACGGGGCTTCACGTTGTCCCCTCTTAAGGCCAAAAAATCATTACATGTCATTCATTTTCCGTAGCCACTTATCCTCTTAAGGGTCGCGGGGGAGCTGGAGCCTATCCCAGCTGACACTGAGCGAAAGGCAGGGTACACCTTGGACAGGTCACCACACTATCACAAGACTGACACATAGAGACAGACAACCATTCACACTCACATTCACACCTACGGACAATTTAGAGTCACCAATTAGCCTGCATGTCTTTGGACTGTGGGAGGAAGCCGGAGTACCTGGAGAAAACCCAGGCTGACACAGGGAGAACATCCAAACTCCACAAGGAAGGGTTCCCCCACCCTGGGTTTGAACCAGGAACCCGCTTGCTGTGAGGTGACAATGCTACCCACTGCACCACTGTGCCACCACCCCAACATATCGTGTGTGCTTTGTGCTCGGTTAAAATATTAAAATACACGTAATCTTAAAAAAGTAAGGGTTGGTGTTAAAGATTTTTAAGCAATGCCTTTTGTGCACAGTTTCCTTAGTTTGGGTTTAAAAGCATCATTGTATCCAACCATTATTAAATCACCCCTGACCTAACTTATATACATTATTAACTTTTAGCCTGGTAAAACCATCCTGGTGGCATGAGCTCAACATTCTGTTTCGCTCTCTGTGTCAGTCTGGACTCGCTGCCGCCCCAAACACTTTCAGTGTGGGGGAGTACTCACCTTGACAGACAAACTCCTTCAGTCAATCAGCGTAACAAAACACCTTGCAACATCTTCATCACCAAAAGGGCCAGGTGATAAATCAAGCTTTTGCCAAATCCAGTTGGATGATCAGCATAAAATGCATTTTCTGCCAAGAAACTCCACAAGTGCATACTCTTGTTCTTGTTTCGTTTTTGTTAATGACTCCATTTCTACAATAACTTCAGTTATTGCTGTTTTTACTCTGCCAGGTAGCCAATGGCAACATTACTGTTCTGCAAGCTGTGGCCTGCATTTTACATCATGTACTACAATATAGTCCCTGATTGGCTGCTTATGTTGTCAACTTCAGTGCTGATCCCTGATTGACCCAGATTATTTTCTGTGAGGGCCAGACTGATAAAGAGAGCAAAACTCATGTCATCAGGATGGCCCCACCAGGCTACTTCACTGTACCTTTAAACTGACAAAGAGGGGATTTTAAGGTTATTGCAAATTCTTGTCTTCCTACATTTTTTCATTTCATGTTTCATTTGGCCCAAAATAAAAAATAAATAATAATATATATTAAAATGAATAATAAAGTATGAGGTTACTAACTAATTAAATGGCTCTGGCATTAGATTAAAGTACATGCAGGTCAGTGGTTTGAGGTATAGCCTACAGCAGGGCAACGCTCAAAATACTATTAAAAAAGCCAACCTTAAATAGAGGAAGAAGAAGAGTGAAGGGAGAAATATTTTAATTTATAGCTGTCATGTCTGACACTGATTGGTTCATTCACTGTTGTATATTTTGGTCGGAAGGGGAATTTGAATATGCAGCACTTCACCGCATGACTTCTCGTCTACTTCATTTCACTTTGACCCGCCATCACTGACTGAAACTGTAACAAGTGATCATAATGAACACTTGTCTGCTTTTATTTGCTTTGCTATCAGCTGCTTCAGCCTTTCACCTGTCTGAACGAGGTAAGTGCTGCGATCGTCCGTTTGGTACAGATAACTTTCTTTTTACTTACTTTTTACTCAGGTTTTATTATTTGTGTAAGCCTTAACTTTCACTTTCATAATCCACCGTGGCGTTTATGCCTTTGTTGTCATTGTTTGCTCTTATTCTTATTCTCTGTATACATTTTGACACTATGAATTGTTTTCAGACGAGGCTCACTTCAAGTCATGGATGGCGCAGGTGAGTTATCTATCAGTTATATCGATCATGTGTAACACTTGTGTGAATGAGGAAATTACCTGCAAAAAATCACTGCAACAAAAACGTCTCTTAAGTGAAATGTTCAAGTTTGATATGATCACAACCCTGTAAGCTCGCTGCTCATTTATACCTATAATTAATCCAAATATGTTAACATTAATGTCCACTATGTCCAGTACAACAGAGTATACAGCCTGCAGGAGTATTATGAGAGGCTCCAGATATTCACTGAGAACAAGAGGAGGATCGACAAACACAATGAGGGGAATCACTCATTTACAAGTAGGAACAGCTTGTTATTGCATTTACTTTCTTTTGTTTTTACATTTTCCATTTAAAATATGTTGAGCATTGTTTAATCTCTTCCTGCAGTGGGGCTGAACCAGTTTTCTGACATGACATTTAAAGAATTCAAAAAGTCTTTCCTCTGGTCTGAGCCACAGGTAATGCCATCCCATAAAGGAAGTAAGTGTTTACATGTTTGAGATGGGGTTTTTTAAGCAGTGAGGGGCTTTATTTTGCACATTGTTTGTTACAGAACTGCTCTGCTACCAAGGGGAACTACTTCAGCAGCAACGGACCGTATCCAGACTCCATCGACTGGAGGAAGAAAGGAAACTATGTGACGGATGTGAAGAATCAGGTGATGTTTAACTGCTGCACCAACACACACCCACACACAGTCACAAATTTTATTTTCAGTTATTGATCTC